AGAGTCATGGCAATTCTAATCAATAACAGTGCATGAAAGTGAAAGTTTGCTACTAGAAAAACTGTAAATGTGCTCACATGAATGCAGTTTGCTAATGCAGAGACTATTCCCTGAGCTAGAAGCTTCTCTCTAACTGCAGCGTTGTCAGGGCACAGATTTCCCAGAGTGTATAAACAAACTTCCTAAAGGACAAGACAAAAGAAACAAAGTAATGAGGAATAAGTGATCACATCTCTCTGACAGTAACTGAAAAAAAAAAACTTTTAAAGTCTCTGTGAAATCAAAATAAAGTTTTTTTTAGAGGTTAGCATCAGTATGTTAGTCTTGAGGTTATCTAAAAGCTGGTATGCTTCAAAACGGTGACAAAATTTGCATTTATAAAACATAAACATCCAAAGCTTGCAGTTTGTTACTTTTACTTAAAGAATTTTTTCAATGTCACTTCATACTTTTTCTCATTAAACCTTCTGACTAATCGAATGCTCTCTATTATTTGGCATGCCCCGCCCCCTTCAAGAGGCTATTGTTATATGTGCTTGAGTTAAAACTTTCTCAATGAGAGAACTGAGATAAAAACAAAATGCCTTTTCCCTTTTTTTCCTTAAATGGAGAGGAGCAACTCTGTCTCACACTGTCTTGATGTTTTAGTTTAAATTACAGTACGTTCAAAACATTTCACGAGACCTTTAAGTCTTTCTTTTGTTGCACTTGATCAATCTGTGACTGTAGATTTCAATTATAGTGCACATTTTTTAAAGGCTGTTTTCTTAAAATAAGCTTTTTCTCGTGTTTTATGATAATAAATCAATTTTAGTCATATTTGCATTCTGAAGGGGTTTACAGAGGCATCTGTCCATATATTATTTGCCTGATTATACACATTTTAACAAGCAAAATATGAAAATGTATTTTTAATCTGGATCTTTCCACATTTTCTGTATTACAGTCATAAAAAAGAGATTAAAAAATCTCCCGTTAAAACATTTGACTCTAATGTGTTTATAAAATAGAAAGAAATCTGAACCTGAAAAATTCAAAAGTTCAGTTTTTTTTGTAGTAGAAGTGTATGCAAATGAATGCAAATTTGCATATTTAAAGGAATGGTTCACCCAAAACTGAAAATTCTGGTATTGTTTACTCACCCTTTACTTTTCCAAACCTTTCTGAGTTTCTGTTCAACACAAACAAAGATATTTTGAAGTATTCCTGAAACCTGTCACCATTTACTTCAATAGTAATTGTTTTTCCTACTATGGAAGTTAATAATTTCAGGTTTTCAGCTTTCTCTAAAACATCTTCTTTAGTGTTCAACAGAATATAAAGAAACACATAAAGGGCTCTATTTTGACGGTCCATGCGCAGAGTGCAAAACGCAGGGCGCAAACGCTTTCAGGGCGTGTCAGGACGCGTTTTTGCTAATTTAAGGACGGGAAATCTGCCTTGCGCCTCTGCGCATGGTCTAAAAGGGTTGAGTTTATTTTCTTAATGAGTTATAGGTGTGTTTTGAAAATAAACCAATTAGAATCTCATCTTCCATTCCCTTTAAGACCCAGCTGCGTCGTGCCAAGAGCGCATTCGCTATTTACAGGACGCAAAGTAAGTCTAAGTGGAAAAAATTAGCATTTCACAAGCAAACAGTTAACAGTTGACAGTTTTTTAACAGAAAACTGTTAAACAGAGCATCTACTGCGTGAGAATGAGAGATAATGGATCACTTTTACTTTCACTCTTGGATAGGGAAACCTTTATGCTCAGACATCAATTAGTCTATAAATAAATACTTTTGTTTGTTAAGCGCAAATATTCGTTTCAAAACTATTTCTAAATTCAGTTCTAATTTCCAGCAAATGAATAAATGAACAATAATAACAAAATGAGCTCAAAAACCTGAGTTATATCCTAAAACACATGCTGCGCCCCATATGGTCTAAAACCTGACAGGTAGGCAAATCTAAGCTTGTTTTTAATAAAACAAATATAAATTTGGATATAATAAATAATACTGCTAATAATAATAACATTATACAAAAGCAAATTGTTATGAATGAACAAAAAAAAAAACTCCCGAGATGAAGAAGACATAAAAAGCAGTGATTTTTCATATTTATGTAGGCTAGAAAATAGTATGTTTTGTAATATTTTAATCCATTATATTTATATTCTATATCTATTCTTATTATATCCTATATATATATCCTTAATATTAAATTTTTTTCATATGTAAAGATATTTGCCTATTGCTCTCTTGTGCGTATTAAGCAGTATGTAAGCGAGGCGCAACTCTGCGCCGGAGTTTAGACCGGGTTAGTTTTGGTCTAATGAAAAATCTTTTATAGATTCTCAAAATAGCAACACGCCAGCGGTCCGCCTCAGAACGTCTTCCTTTTTAGACCAGAACGCCAATAGGCGCACAATTGAGCGCTTATGCATTTGCTATTTAAACAGCGTAGCACAACGCCTCAAAACGACTCTTGCGCCAAGCTGAAACTACCAAAGGACTATTGCGCCACGCCTTGCGCCACACTGCGCCGGGTGTATGATAGGGCCCAAAGGTTTTGAAACCACTTGAGGTAAATAGTAAATACATTTTTGGTTGAACTATCCCTTTTAGCATTATAGAAAACTTGTAATACAAAAGATGTTTTCAATTCTTCATGTAATCAATTCTTCAGTCGGTATGGGGATAACTATTGTTTGTGTTTTTCATGATATGAAGTGGTGGTGCACTCACTGTTAGTTGTGTGCTCTGGCTGGAGAGGTAGGTGAGTAGGTATGGGCCGGCTGGCACACAGGCCTGACTAACACTGGGATGAGAAGAGTGGGACAGCTGGTGGAGACAGCGAGTCGCTTCCAGCTGACACTGAGCATTATGAGCACTGAGCTGCCCAATCAACATGTGCATGCTGTTCTCTGATCTGAACAAAAACACACACAATATTGTAGGAAGAACAGTACACATGGCTGACAAATAAGCATTTCATTATACATTTAAAACAGAATTAAAAATAATTTAATCTTGCTTTAAATACATTTACATTTAGTCATTTAGCAGACGCTTTTATCCAAAGAGACTTACAAATGAGGACAAGGAAGCAATTTACACAACTATAAGAGCAACAATGAATAAGTGCTATAGGCAAGTTTCAGGTATGTAAAGTCTAAGAAGGAGAGCATTAGTAATTTTTTTTTTTTTTTGAGTGCAGTTAGTGGTATAGCCAGAGAGGCAATTGCAGATTAGGAAGTGAAGTGGAGAATACATGTTAAAGACACATGAATTGCTGTAGATAGATGTATAAAGCATAATATATGTGTTTTAATGTTTGAAATCACTTTTGAAAAAGTTAAACAACATATTTATTATGAGTATTACAATTACAATTAGAATATACAAAGTCATCATATACTAAATGTTATTGTATTTTAAATGATCAAAAGCATCTTGCTGACAAATCAGTCTTCATATATCATATAACCTTTTCTTATTCTCATCGAGGCTGAATTAACTGATCAAAAATATATTTATCTCCAAATTCAGTGATACAGAAAAGTAGTAAAATTGTTTTACTTGAAGAACTGGTTTGTATATAAATGTATATATTTTCACATTTTATTATGATGATTATTATGAATGATTATTATTATTTTTTGAAAATAGTTTGCTTAAACTTTTTGTGGCATAACATATTGCAACAGAAAAAAGTTATTTTAAATTAGCTTTTCTTTCAAAATTTTCACAAATACATTTTTTTCTGTAAATTTGATCAAATACATAAAGTCTTGGAAAGCAAGAGAGATCTTTAAAAATAAAAGCGTGCATATACATAAAACTAAAACTATATTTATTTTCAATTTTATATGCAAATTGTTTTCTTAATGCAGCTATTTTTTCAGTTTATCCACTGGTATTTGCTTTTAAAGACCAGTTGAATAAACTGGTTGATTTGTAGTCATACTTAATGAAAGCAAGTTGGTTCTCTGGGTTTCTCAGTGCTTTTCTTAGAGATGCCAGACGAGCTGCTTTCTCCTCACCGCCCATCTGGACTCCACGTATCATCTCTTTCACCTAATGCCACAAATACAACACATGAGCTATATTCTTTATGATAAAAATAAACAATTTGTTTCTCTTTAGATACCTGTTCAGAAGACAGAAAAGTAAAGCATGTTTCCATAGACTCTTCCTCCTCTTTCTCTTCTTCCTCAACATCATTTTGCAGGAGTCTCTTACTGACCAGCTGTCTGTCTTTCCGAGCCTGTCTAAGAGCTGTGAATACATGAATATGTAAATATTATGTTTTATTATTGGCTACGTTTAAACACATCTAAAAGATAAACAGGTGACATCAAGACAAGGTTAAAATATCATATATAAAGCATATTAAGAGATGACAGGGTTATAATATGATATAATTTTGATATAGAATAGTAAAACAAACATCAATACCTTTCTCAAATTCTCTTCTCTTGCGTTTGAACTCCTCTAAATCACTTGCAGATGCACTTGCTTTGTGATGGATAGTTTTCAGCCTCCACATATTTATTATTCTTACTATCCAAACGGAAAACGCGCTCTTTATTGTAACTTATAACTTTAAAAACTTTAAGCCTGTCTTCTTTTTTTATTTTATCTCATTACATTCTATAAAAAACGTCTATCATACTGGTTTGCTGTTGATTTGCAGTTGTTATACATGAAGAGCGAAATATTTTTTCAAAATAAGAGATTGCCATGTAAACGTTAATGTATTATTATTATTATTATTATTATTATTATTATTATTATTATTATTATTATCATTATTTTTATTATCACTATTATAAATAATTATGAATAGATCGTGACTTTGTACCCCGCTACTAACCAGTCTCTCGTACTCCAAACTGTTGGCGTGGCTTTTATTATGTTGTTTCAGATTCGGTTGCTTCTGTCTCTTTTAGCTTCACGCTGTAGTGAAGAACACTCGAGTAGGCGCTCGCAATAAATCTCGATGCCATTAGTAAATAAACACAGAGTACATCCAGAGTTAACTATACATTTTCTAGGTAAGTGACTATTGAAAATCGTATATTTTACAGTAAAAATAAATCGATAGAAATCGAAGGCTTTTATTTTATTTATCCACAGACCCACACAACACGAAGGCCACATGTTCCTACAGCATGCGTTAATGTTATGAACAATGTTATTACATAATAGTGTCAAGACAAGTTACTTGATTTTCGAATATATAATCCTGTCGCATTCGTTGTTATAATGTATATATTTGGTCTTAAATGTTTACTTGATATTAGCGTTTCAACTTAGTGACTGACAAGAAGTGGTTTGTTTGTTGTTGATACACATTTCACTGCCCTGAGGTGATAATTTGCTGTCATATAGTAAAAATGTGTGTATTCCTGGCAGTCTACATTCTATTTTTCACACTAAATCTAAGGTAAATATGGGTTGTCACAGACAATAATTATCATTGTAAACGTAGTAAATTGTGATAAACAGGGTTTCTGCGGGGTCTTAAAAATCTTAAAATATCTTAAATCTCGAAATCAAACTTTTAACTTTAGGCCATAAAAAGTTTACATTTACTAAAATACTGTTTTGTAGGTCTTAAATAGTTTTTAAACAGGTCTTAATTTTCCTTTATTCACGTGTTGCTACTCAATCTGGCCAAAATCCATACACTCACCAACAATTCATCTCAATAAAACCATTTTTTTTAATTAAAAAGGTCATTTTACCTCTATTTATGATAATGGTTTAATTATTTTCCTTACAGTGACATTTGGTTAAAAGTTGGAGAGAAAAAAAGTGTATGAATACATCAAATAGAGCTTGCTTGTTTTTACACAATATTTATAATATTTAGCTAAGAAATCAAAACTATTTAATTTTTTTATTATTAATTTATTATTAAATGTATTGAATTATAATAATTCTTTTAATAGGTCAAATAAAAGTCTTTTCCATCTGTGCCATTTGAAAAATTCCTTAGCCCTTAGCACTTTATGAATCTAAAATCTCATTCATAATGGTCTTAAAAAGTCTTAAATTTAACTCTGTGAAACCTACAGAAACCCTGGATAAACCAGTTTTTGTTGTTACATTTTAAACCAAATCTCAAAAACTGTCCTATGGTGTGACCGTTACAAGCATAGTTCAATGAATTAACTTATAAACTCTTAGAAATGAATAAAAGAATTGTAAAATCATAAATACCTCAATTTTACAAGTGGCCATTTTATTCATTAATTTTCCTTTGGCTTAGTCCCTTTATTCATTATGGGTCGCCACAGCGGAATGAACTGCCAACTTATCCAGCATGTTTTACACAGAGGATACCCTTTCAGCTGCAACCCAGTATTGGGAAACAGCCATACTCTCTCTCTCTCTCTCTCTCTCTCTCTCACACACACACACACACACACACACACACACACACTCATACATTGCGGCCAATTTAGTTTATTCAATTCAATCTATACCGCATGTCTTTGGACTGTGGGGGAAACCGGAGCACCCGGAGGAAACCCATGCCAACATGGGGAGAACATACAAACTCCACACAGAAATGCCAATTGGTCTAGCCGGGACTCGAAGCAGCGACCTACTTCCTCGAGGGTGCTAGTGCTAACCACTGAGCCACCATGTTGCCTGTGGCCATTTTAGTAAATGGAAATATATATTATTTTAATCCATATATGTTTAAAAACAAAGAACTTGATGCATTTTGTCACTGCACATATAGTTTTGTGACACCATATGCTCATTTTAAATCAGGCAATTCCATAGAAACATTTGAATTAGTTGAAAGACCCCATAATGATGGGTTGTTGCTATAAGGGATACAGCTGTGGCTGGAAATTAATAAGAATTGTTTGTAATATTTATTAAATTACCCAATATATTGTATTTAGAGTATTTAAAGTCAATGTACTGTAAAGTATTAATTATTGTTGTACAGTGTCACCTATATGATGGCATATTGATTTGCATATCTGAAGCTGTATCCCGTCTAGACTTAACTTCATTCTACTGAAGCACATGACGAGCATCTGTTAAGTTTGTGTCTCAGGATGTTTTACATATTGAACGTTTTTGGAATGATTGTCACATTTTGGTTAGGCAGTGGCGCAGTAGGTAGTGCTGTCGCCTCACAGCAAGAAGGTCGCTGGTTCGAACCTCGGCTCAGTTGGCGTTTCTGTGTGGAGTTTGCATGTTCTCCCTGCCTTCGCGTGGGTTTCCTCCGGGTGCTCCGGTTTCCCCCACAGTCCAAAGACATGCGGAACAGGTAAATTGGGTAGACTAAATTGTCCGTAGTGTATGAGTGCGTGTGTGGATGTTTCCCAGAGATGGGTTACGGCTGGAAGGGCATCCGCTGCGTAAAAAACTTGCTGGATAAGTTGACGGTTCATTTCGCTGTGGCGACCCCGGATTAATAAAGGGATTAAGCCGACAAGAAAATGAATGAATGAATGAATGAATTGTCACATTTTGTTGTACTTTGTGTGACACACATATTTATCAAAAATGTCCAAAAAGTCATGGAGAAAAAGAAATCATATAAAATAAATAGCACTTAAGATAAGTGTCAAACAATGAAGATAAATCACTCTCATGCAATTTGTAAATTATTAAGAGTTGTTTTTCCTAATTTTTGCTGTCTCACCATTGGAAATTTGAACAGTACAGTTCAGTGAAAAGTAAAAGATTGAAATAATTAAGTTATTTTGTAATATTTGATCTTATGTCATTGGAATACTTTACTCACTGGTCAAGGGGAAAAACTTTTTATCAGTTCTGGACTCCGTTCCTTGAATATGATTTTTGCAAAACCTTAGATCACCATAAACTTTGGTTAATTTATGTACTTTTCTATTTTTATTATTACTCTGTATTTTCATGTCTTCTTTTTGATTTTGATTTTCATTATGTGCTGTGATGTTAAGAAATTTGTTGGTTGTAAGCTGTGGTCATTGTTCTGTTCTTTTTTTGTTTTGTTAAAATAAAGGCAAAAAAAATAAAAAATTAACAAGTCATATTGTTTTTACTGTTAGTTATTAAATTAATTTTAAAACCCCCCCAAAAAATTAAGTTATTTTCTCATATATCCTCAAACGTCAGACTTCAAACTACAAGTTTTGTCTTCAAAATTTGTTTTCCAGAAAGCACTTTCAACTCGTGTTTTTTTTCAGGTGACAGATTTTTCAGAGGTATATATCCACCATGTCAAAGGCAACCAAACGCAAGCACGTAGTCAAAGAAGTACTGGAGGATTATGTCACACCCACTGAAGACCAGCAGATCATGAGGGTACTTGAGTAGTTTTTGGGTGCTGCAGAACTCTTATTATACTATGTATGTAATAATTGTACACCTCTTTCACATCACAGGTCTTGGGAAGTAATGGCAATAACCTCCATGAAGCTGTGACTGGCAGTGGCGAGCGTTTTCTCCTCAGTATGCCTACTAAGTTCCGCAAGAACATCTGGATCAAACGAGGTGAGTTTGTTTTACTTTGCACCAATAGGCTGAATAGCTGAGCTGAATAAAAGATCAGTTTCTTTGGATTTACAGGTTTTAGTTGAGTATTTTTAGTTTATTTATTCAGTTTACTTATCAGTTTATTTATTATATATTAAAAAATTGCCCTGGTTTCCCCCCACAGTCCAAAGACATGCGCTATTAGTGAACTGAATAAGCTAAATTGGCTGTAGTGTATGAGTGTGTGTGTGTGTGTGTGAAAGAGTGTGTATGGATGTTTCCAAGTGTTGGGTGGCCGCTGGATTAATTTTGTTGTGTCTACCCCATAATAATAAAGGGATTAAGCCAAAATGAATGAATGCATAAATGTTATCAAAATATGACATTTCTTTCAAACACAAAATAAAAATGTTTTAATTTAGCACAGTTAAAAAAAAACAATTTAAAAAATGAATACATGTTCATATTCATTTTTCAATAAAAATATCTATGTTTTAAGCAATCAATAGATCAAAATCTGGTAGAGTAACACTGATTTTTCAATTATAACACATTGAAACATTTGTTATTCTGACTAATTTACATTTTCTGAAAAACATGTGCTCTAGAATGACAAATTCAGTTTCAAATTTTGAAGATAAGCTGTCAACCATATATTAATAAGATATTTGAAGATTTTACTCAAACCCACACACAAAAATCCTTTAAATCTGTTTTTAAATTGAATTGTTTACATTTGACGTTTCTCTTTTTGTTAGGAGACTTTGTCATTGTTGATCCCATTAAAGAAGGAGGAAAGGTAAAAGGAGAAATTAGCTTCATACTTTACAGGGACCATATTCAGCACCTGAGGAAACTTGGTGTCTGGTAAGACCATTTGCATTATTTTAATACTGAGTTGTTGTGAATTTAAAATAATTTCATAGTATAATTTTTATATTACATAATAATAAATAATCATTAAAAACGATGTAGGTCAGTATTAAGAAAAAGGAGAAAGTTAGTGGTAAAAAAAAAATGTTTAGTGGTGAAAATAAGTGTTGAACACCCACCATTTTTCTCTGAAAACATATTTCTAAAGGTGCTGTTGGTTTTGAATTTTTCACTGGATGTTGGTAAATACCAAAGAAATCCATAAATGCAAACAAAACAAATCAAATAAATTTACTAATTCAGTTGTGTGTAATAAAATGAAATTACACAGGAAAACTGAACACACGAAGAAAGGGAGGTGTAGAAAGGCAGTGAAAGCCCAGACAGCCGCTGAAATCTCTCAATTGTTCTTCAGCAACCCTCTGTCCTTCCTCTTTGTTAATTAAAATTATCTGCTTCAGTCCAAAATATACATTTCAATTCATGTTAATTCATTCTCCGTATTTTTTAAGCTGCTATTACCAAAAAAAAACTTTTAATATAAAGTATTAAACACGTTTCAGTAGTTCAGCACTTTACCATAAAGTATATGGCATGTCATTGCATTATCACACGTAACTCATTTTTCAGATTTTTAAAAAATGTTTGTATTGTTTAGATTTTCCATCCAAAATCTGGTTCAATTCCATGTCAACAGCTCCTTTAGAAATTTTATTCCCAGGAAAAAAACACAAGGTGTTAAATGTATACATTTTTACCTTGTTTATATTTAGTTCAATATTTATAATCTATAAAATAAAATGAGCATATCGGTTATATTTGATGCATCTTTGAGTCATAAATAGACACAACAGTTATTTTGATTATCATGTGCTCAAGAGATCCGTCTGAGAGAGCAAAGCTGAAGTGCATTTAGTAAACTTCATTTTCACAACGAACACAGGCCAGAAGGATTCCAGGAGGATCGCACATCCGGTGAGAGAAACGAGGGAACACCGAAAGAAAGAAGTGAAGAAAAAGAAGAGGAGGAGGGTGACAGCGAATCTGAGGACGATGACAGCGATCTGTTTGTGAACACCAATCGTGCCACTGTTCTTTACAGTGAGAGTGAGGAAGAAACCGATGAAGATGAGGAAGAAGATAAAGGAAGAGCATAAATCTACAAATGATACCACAACATGACCAAGAACAGCTTTCTGTGGTGAGAAACCTAGGTTAGAAACTTGGAAAAACCCATTTATGCCTGATTTCAAAATGTCAAGAGTTCTCTTGCATGGCTTTGAGAAGGTGTTCAAAACGTTTTGTTTGAGTTAAAGGAAACTTGATTATGTATATGTATCATAATTATTGTAAATAAGGAGTTGTAATAAATTCTCTTTCGTATGCTTGTTGTTGTTCCTTTCATTTTATTCAAGTAAAATATTTAGCTTGTTTCGGTGCATTAAATTGACAGTAACACTTTAGCGATTAGCATCAAATAAATATTAACCTTTTGTAAATGCATGTTATAGATATCTGTTACCCAAATTTGGTCTTGGAGGGGCCGGTGTCCTGCATATTTTAGCTTCAACCCCAATCAGACACACAAAGGTAATCACGCTCTTGCTACCTAAATTAGCTGTTTTTTTGTATTTTGTGATTCGTGTTTGTATTTTTTTTCCCCATTCATTTATGCTTTTGGGATGCATTATGGGACTTTGAGCTTTCTTCAACAACTTTTAGCCTTGAAAAGTAAAAAAAAAAAAGGTTTTATTAACATTTGTAGTAGTTTATAGTGATACATTGTCTGTGTTGGTGTTGTATTTTACAATCAGTGTTGTGCAGTAGCATCGCTACAAGTAGTGACGCTTCTAGCTTAACTACATTTCTCAGTAGCGTGGCGGTAGTGTCGCTACTTTCTAAATCAATTAGTTTTTTAATGTAGCGAAGCTATTTTTTTTAAGTCAAGTAGCACAGTATTGTCCACACAAGCTACATTTACAGATCGCGGCTTATAAGTGACAGCACCAACATTCACAGAGCTGTGAGGCTGGTGTCTAGCTGATTAAAGGAAATCCATATGATGGCGAGAGAGACGACTTTTTTCTTCCTGTTTTCTCGGTGGTCGACAACAAACTTTTTGGTGCGTTACTGCCACCTCTCGCTCTGGTCATTGTTTTCGCCAACCAATTAGGCTAACACGAGAAATTTGCTTGAGTGAAAGATGACTGAGGGAGAGGAGGTATATTGTTTACTGTAGTAAAGCCTCAAGTTTACTATGGTAATTACTATTAGTTCATGTTAGTTACTAATGATACTACATTATAGAGTGTAATTCATTAATGAAGAGTTGTAAATATATACAATATTATTCCTAAATAATTCACATTACTATACTATAGTATTTCAAATGTGTAACACTAGGTTTTATTGGATTTTTGTTGTTGCTCTTATATACTAGTTTGTTTCTGTTCGGTACAGCATATTATTTACAGCAAATAATAACTGAATTATTACGTCGTTATGTTTTATAAACAGTTTTTTTGATTGCTAAGATATGATTGACTTGGATTTAAGTTGCTTAGATTTAAAAAGCAAAAATAGCTTGGATGTAGCTAAGCTTCTTTGATTAGTAGCTTTTAGCTTAGCTTGCTACATTTCCCAGAGGGTAGCTTTTAGTGTAGTTAATCTGTATTTTAGGTAGAGTATCTAATAGCTTAGCTGACTACATTTTTCAAGTAGCTTGCGCAACACTGATTACAGTATAAAACATTGTAATAACTCACAGTACATTTTCTGTTATTTCACAGACTTATTCCTCTATATATCATTTCAAACTATTAAAATGTCAATAAACGTCACTATTTTTTAAGTCAACAAAGTCCAGATCAAGGTCCTATAATGCAATTAACAACCTTAAATAAGTAAAACAACTACATTAATGAATCACAAAATACAGAAATTAACAGGTATTTTTACAATGTATGCTTGGTAGAAATATCCTGGCAGGTGTGTTGTGGGAAGTTGTAGCTAAACTCTGCAGGACCACGGCCCTGCAGGACCAAGCTTGGGCACACCTGTTATAGATGAACGATTGTTGTGAACAATTCATCCATGTTTAATTTTTATTCTTTACATCAGTTTTTAATCAAAATGTCAAAAACCCTGAGTTTCTCTTCATGTCACAACATGAAAGAAAAGATCTGCAGCTACATGTTTTAACGGAACTTTAAAAAATAGTTCAAGACTCAAAATATCAAAAGTATATACAAAATACCATGCATTGCATAACACTAGTTTTCAAGTATTCAATAAACATCAGAACTTCCTTCAAGTAAGAAAGTCAAAGTCTTCTGAACTCAGAAGAACTCAGTCAGGTCTAGGTTTAACCCTAAGCGTTGCGTTTCTGCATTCAGGACTTGGAATCAAGGTTTCAAACCAAAGTTTGAACATCTCAGCTGGGCTACGCTTGTGCACCAGAAGAATGGTATGATTAGCACAGGGTTCTTTGGGCTCATCCTTTGGAAAGTCAAAGGTAAGGAATGCAGGATGGTGGACGGGGTAAACCCCCAGTCTTCGAAGACACATGCCCAAGTAGACGTCATCAATGGGGAACAGATGAACCCTTTGTGAAACCTCCAAAAGCCTATGGGCCAGAGAGCCAGAGTAAACCACCCCTCCTCCACCAGGGTATGACGGGTACAGCCCTTTAAAAAAGCTCTCCGGGATGAAATACTTGGTGTTATTAGTGCGTATAGGTGCTGCGTTGTGTATCACATCCCCAATGACAAAGCTCTCCATGTTTTTGGATTCATCTGATAAGCTTTCATTGGCCTCCACAGCCTGTAGATAGTCCAGAACAGCAGGTGTCCTCACAAACACATCATCATCTCCTTTAAAGATGAATCTGGCATGTGGGCACCGCCTTGAGAACCACTCCCAGAACAGCACATCTTTCAGGGTGAGGTTAAAAAAGGCGTCCGTGAACTCCCATTGGAGGATGTCACCATACTTTTTACTCTCTAATTGCAGTTTTTCTTCATGCTGCCTGCTTTTGGACTTCCCAAGAAGGAAGACCCTGCGAACAATTTTTAGCTGCCCATCCCGGGTCTTTATCCTTCCAGAACGTCCCCAGGTTTCTCTTATCGCTTCCCTGTTTTCGAAATTCGCAGTCTGAGTCTTTATTGCTAGAAGCAACATCGGTGCCCATTTCTTTGCAAGTGGTCCATGATTGCAAACATCTGAAGGGTCTATGATTATGGCATAGTCTCTACAATGCATTGTCCTCACGAAGTTCTTCATCTGGGTAGGTAGAGTGAGGAAATCAGGCATCGTAATGTCAATGTTAGAATTTGGAGAACATCCATTCTCACTTTTGGATCTTTCCAAATTACTGGATGTTTCTATAGTTAGATTTGGACTTAGGATGGGGTTGCGCTGGCGATCCATCATGTACTGGATGATGTTCCATAGTGCCCCGCTTTCTAGCTCGCTTCTCCAGAAGGATTTTTCCGGATGTGGGGCCAGATCTCTGGAGCGTTTAAGACCACGGGCTATAAAGCGGTCTGGCAGTAAAGGAAGAGAAACAGTAGAGACATAGGTTCCAGGGCCGGCATACCCACCGGTGTCACCGTGTTTCATGACATAGGACATGGCAATCATGACGTAGATGCAGACTGGAAGCAGCAGTATGCATGGTGAACAGAACAAGATGATCCGCCGGCGGTATCGACACAGACATGAAGCCATATAGCCTACGAGAAAAGAAAGATTTGAAGTTATATCAACACAGGTGGCGCTAGTATTTCAGAAGATTTGTCATACACCAACCAAAAATCCCTATAGACCCATGTCAAGTTTGATGCACCGACGTTGATTCTATCAACGCAGGTGGTGCTAGTATTTCAGAAGATTTGTCAGACACCAACAAAAAAATCCTCATAGACCTAAGTCAAGTTTAATGCCATATTAATGGATAAAAATGATGCTGTGAAGTTGCGCAGGGTGGTTTAATCGAGGTGATTTTCATGCGCATTTTGTCAGTAAAACCAGTTCTGGTAAACCTCTAGCACATCCGTTTAGATCAGAGCTGCCCAAACTTGGTCCTGGAGAGCCGGTGACCTGCAGAGATAAGCTACCACTTCCTTCTACACACCTGCCAGAAAGTGGAGCTGTGTCCCAAATCGCATACTTATGCACTATTCTACGCCATTTTGTAGTATAAATAGTGTAAGTAGTGCGTTCACACTAAAAACTCTAAAAATAATAAGTGCACTTTAATGACCCGGAAGATGCACTCATTCAGCCGCTAAAATGAAGTGTGTAATGATGGACACTTCACGCACTCAACGACCGCAGGTTTGTCTACTTGTGAAAGGGGTGGAGCTATCGGGCGGACATGTTGAATAACTTTATTTATTTTGGATGGTTAAATCTGTTTATTTAGCAACTGTTACATCAAAAAATGCTTGGTTTCACACAAGTCCTTCATGTTGTCTCAGCAAAAATTGATTAACGTATCATTGCTATTAAATTACTTTTAAACTATTGCTTTTACAAACTTAAGTGGACTGAGCATAAAACAATTAAGTTGACTATTTCCTACTAAATTTACTACTGAATCCTTCAATAAAAAAAATCCAAGAAATGTGTTGATTCAGCTTAATTTAAATAAGTAGTTTAAACAACCAGCAAAATATGCAACACAATCTCACGGTAATTCGTAACTTTTTCATTTAGTGGCTAATTCGTACAAATTCGTACGATCTAATTCGTACATTTTAGTACAATTTGCGTATCCCCCAATGACAGTTGGGTTTAGGGGTGGGGTTAGGTGCCACGCCTCCTTTTTAAAATCGTACATTTTCTTACGACTGAACTCTAAACTGCCAAAACGTTAAATCATTACGTTTTCTCGTGAGATCAGGCTGAAATATGGGGGTGAGATTGCTGTGTTTCTTCATGTGTATTCACGAGAGGCAGCCATGCGTCTCATTAGAACTCAAAATGCGGGATACACAGATAATAAATGTATTCAGCGCCACCCCAAAGAAGTATAAGTCCCGTTTAAATATTTATTTTGTTAGTTTAACATGTATATGGTGAAATTTGCATAGAATGTTTGTAACGAGTCAATGAACAAATACATGTAAACTGTTCAAAATTAGTTTTAATGCACATTTATTAGGCATGTGATCAGCCGAGGACAAAAAAGACTAGAACCCTCCCCCCTTCAAAAAAAATTACAATAAAATAATAATAACAAAAAAATCTCTCTCTATATATATATAATAGAAATAATAACACAAAAAATATTTTATTAATACTTTTAATAATATTAATTCTTTATATAAATGTTTGATATTGTCCATACAATTTGTTGAATTTTTTTTTTGTTTGTTTAATCATTTTTAATGTTAAGCAGTTTAATAGTCGGTTAAGTAATGTTTATTAGGTTTATAGCAATTATAGTCTACTTTGTACCTTAATGTCGGTACAGATCCACACACCGCCGCTATGGTGCCACTAACTTTGTTAGTTCTCTTGTGTCCATAAAATATCATTTTTCCTGTATTTTGGTAGACTCTTTATTCCACATAATAAATAAACTAGCAATCTTGCATATTATCAGCGGCTTCGTCATAAGTGCACATTATAGGACTATACAATATCATTATGTTATATACACAGTAGCCTAGGAAGGTCTACAATTACGCTAATTGGGGTAAGTAGGGGTCACCCCATTGAACTTGGAAAATATGGAAATCTATATTTCACAGAATCACATCCCTGATTTATGCATCGTGTCATATCACTCTGCTCTTATTTACATTTTCCTGGAGTAAAAGAACGCCAATAAATGTTATAAAAATGTATGCAACAATAACCTCTTTGTTTATGGAGAGGTTACCATTGACTTCCATAGGAAAAACAATACCTTGTAAGTCAAGGGTTACAGGTTTCCAACATTTTCAGAATATCTTCTTTTGTGTTAAACCAAAGTAAGAAACTCAAACATGTGAAGCGAGAGTAAATGATGACAGATTTCAGTTTTGGGTGAAACTTTAAATTCTTCTGCTTTCAAATTTACAAATGTGATCCATCATTTTGTCCTTAAAGATGTTTTTTTCTAGCATGAAAATCTCAAGATTTGATCTATTTAATACATAATAATTGTCTTATATTGAATACAAAACTATTCATTGGTTACCAAGATTGGCTTAAATTTACTTTATCCTTTCCCTGTTTTGTTTTTTTGCTGATTTTAATTCTTATTCCTTCTTTTAAACTTTCAAATATTAAGAATTGAATGCATCATGACAATCTTTTTATGGATGTTACAGTCTATTTAATTTGATATTACATTTGTAGACATTTACTTTATGCATTATTACAGTATTACATGTTACATTAACTCATTTCTCTGTTAATGTATGTAATGTTTGGCAATAAAAAAGTATAAAATATAAATAATTGAATATATATTATATATTTTTATAAAAATAGAAACTGTAAAGTCTTTACATTAGTTAAAACTCTAAAACAAGACATGTTTAAAGACCATAGATACACCGCATTCAATTGTTTTAGAGATATTTTTTTCATTTTTTTTTCTCAGATAAACAACTGATATATTGTCAAACAACAGTATTGCACATGCTGTACATCTATTTACAGCCTCATTTTCATACATGTAAATATTAATATTGCACACTACTCTGACCGAGGTCCACCAAAATCGCAAAGTTAGCCTATGTTGTCAGTACTGTAATCACATGATTAACTGATATGGCACTTGAGACAGTAACACATTTTCAGTGTCTTTTAATGATTATATTTACAAGTCTTACAAGTTTTTACACCCAGATATAAAGGTAAGAGATGTCACTGGGGTGATATCTTTTCAGATGGTACATATTTGTATCAAAAGGGTCGGATACTGGTACCTCAAAGATACATATAAGTATCTAAAAAGCCACTCACCGGCCACTTTATTAGGTACCTGCTCTACTGCTTGGTAATGCAAATTTCTAATTAGCCAATCGCATGGCAGCAACTCAATGCATTTAGGCATGTAGACATGGTCAAGATGATCTGCTGCTGATCGGAAAAAAACTTCTGTGACATTCAGATGGTAGAGTCAGAATTTGGCGTCAACAACATGAAAGCAAGTATGCATACTGCTTTGTATCAACTGTTCAGGCTGGAAGTGGTGGTGTAATGGTGTGGGGGATAATTTTTGGCACACTTTGGGCCCATTAGTACCAATTGAGCAGCATGTCAACGCCACAGCCTACCTGAGTATTGTTTCTGACCATGTCCATCCCTTTATGACCACAGTTTACCCATCTTCTGATGGCTACTTTCAGCAGGATAATGCAGCATGTCATAAAGCATGAATCATCTCAGACTGGTTTCCTGTACATGACAATGAGTTCACTGTTCTCAAATGGCCTCTACAGTCATTAGATCTTTATCCAATGGAGACCTTTGTGATGTGGTGGAACAGGAGATTCACATCATAGATGTGCAGCCGAAAAATAATGTCAATATGGACTAAAATCTCTGAGGAATTTTCCAGTTGACCAGTTACCTTGTTGAATCTTTGCAACAAAGGATGAGACAGTTCTGAAGGCAAAAGTGGATCCAAACCAGTAAAAGTAAGATGTATCTAATAAAGTGGCATTATATATATATATATATATATATATATATATATATATATATATATATATATATATATATATATGGTATAAAATATACAATTTTAAGCTAAATTTAGAGCTGTGATAAAGTTAAAGACAAAATTAATAGTCCTTCTGTGAAAGGTCTGTGAAATGTGAAATTTTCAAATATTTCCAGTGTGCTTTTCAGCAGAGCAAGGGCATTTATTTACAACATTTCCTAACATTTAATTCTTTATTCTTTTTTCTTGGTGAAAGTCTTATTTCATTTACTGTGGATTTAATAAAATGATTTTGAAAATGTATTATTATAATAACCCCCTCCCCCTACTGAAATTATTTTTTCTATTAACTAACTACAGAACAAACCACTGTTGTCCAGATTTGCCTAATTAACAAAACTTGCCTAGTTAACCTACTTTTACTCAGATAAGCATTTAAATTGCAATATAAGCTGATAATTATTATGTACTGTCATTATAATAAATTAGTTATTATTATACTGATACATGTGTATTATGTTGAAAAACAACACTTGGAAAATATCTGAAAAATCTTGCCTCTAACTGTATGCTACACTACAATGTTAGCATATAAAACAACATTTTACGTTTTAAAGTAAATGTATATTTCTTTATATGTAAACCTTTTCTATTATGAAAATTAGATGTAGCAAAAACACATTTAATTTAAATCTAGACGAGATGCAGTATATCTCAAATTCTCTATTATAAAATACAAAAAAGTACAATACAACAAATAGATCAAATAGATAAAATCAAATACAAAAATCTTAAGACTTACCACGTTTTTTGTCGAGGTGTTTTAAGGTGAATTGCGCGTCACTCACACCATAATACGGGTAAGTGCAGTAAACAAACAGATAAATAAGAAATGGGATGTGCAAAAACTGTAACCAAACAAATCAACAAAATAAATCCAGTCTGTAAATTCGCGCTGGTCAGTGGCTCGTATCATAAAAAGCGCGTGAAGAGAATTCTGTGAAACTCAGGTGTTTGTGTGTGTGCGCGCGCAACCACGCCCACGATACTTACCTCAATAGCAGATGAATTACAGGGAGGAGATTTTCAATGTAGTCAAAATGTCTCAGGGCGGTTTTGTTTGTAAAAGTAATCTTGTATAGACGCAAACCAACAAATTGTGACTTAAATCCGTTGGAGATAACTCACATTTTAGGCTTATAGATTGTAGCCTATATTTGTAGTCATATTAGCGAGCGTTTTTATTCAGAGTACAGTAAGTAAATCTTAATTAAAAAAAAGCGTCTCCTGGAAGAATTTTTCAATGTTTATCACTTGAGTAAACTGAAAAATCTTACATGAACTTTTATTAGTAGCTTTTGTTGTCATCTGTATGTTATCTATCTATCTATCTATCTATCTATCTATCTATCTATCTATCTATCTATCTATCTATCTATCTATCTATCTATCTATCTATCTATCTATCTATCTGTCTGTCTGTCTGTCTGTCTGTCTGTCTGTCTGTCTGTCTGTCTGTCTGTCTGTCTGTCTGTCTATCTATCGTTATATCTATCTATCTATCTATCTATCTATCTATCTATCTATCTATCTATCTATCTATCTATCTATCTATCTGTCTGTCTGTCTGTCTGTCTGTCTGTCTGTCTGTCTGTCTATCTATCCATCCATCCATCCATCCATCCATCCATCCATCCATCCATCCATCCATCCATCCATCCATCCATCCATCCATCCATCCATCCATCCATCCATCCATCTAAACTCAAACAATTGCTTGCTGTTTGTTCAAACTTAATTAAAACGAGCTGAACACAATTCTTTAGTTTAACTCAATTGTTTTTGTGTTCAATTTACTTAAATGTGTAAATACTAATAAGTTAACTTAATTCTTCCATGTTGATCCTACACAATGGATTGTGTGGAACCCAGCATTCTTTACAGTGCATCTATCTGATCTTTTTTTGTTGTTGCTTTTGGACGTTTCGGAAAATGCTAATATAATATTGCTGAAACTATTTCAATTGAATATATTTGTCTTGTCTTATCTTATCTATCTGCATTTGTTACAATGTGCCCTGTTAGCCTATATTTATAGCAATATAATCAGCTCATATTTTCCGCATGTTAAACTTCTCAGTGAACATGAGTTGTGTCACATTTGACGGGTGTTTTTGTATTGTAAAGCTTCTCGTTTGACAAGTACGATGAGTTGCCTTCAAGTATTGCAGCTCCACCGGTTACTGGGAGTAAGATCAGATGATCTGTGCATTACAAAACATTATCAACTGTATGACTGATGTGGACAAGAATCTCGAATTCACAATCAAGCATGTTTTTCATTTGTCTGATGAAATTATGAGCTCAGCAGACCTTCTGTTTTAGGTCAATTATGGATAAGCAAGAGTCATCAAGAGTCTCTGCTCATGGTTGCTATTATTGATAAATGTGTTAGGCCTACATACCATGCATGTTTTGAAGATCACCACCAGAGGTAATCCTTGAAGTCTTGGTTAGACGAGTTCATCTGGTTCCTGTTGGGGTGAGTGACAAAGGCTTGAGTTTCTCACTTGCTTTGTTGCATATGCGTTTTGAAGGGATGGGTCACCCCAAAATGACAATTCTGTCATCATTTGTTCACTCTGTACTTAAAAACTCAATGAGTATCTTTCTTCTGGTAAAGATAAAGAGGATATTTGGAAAATGTTGACCTCAAATTCTTCCAAGAATGGAAGTCAATGGTTACAGGTTTTAAAATTTTATTATTTAAACAAAAATAAAACTGAAGTAATTTTATTTGGGCACAAATAAAATTCTCTGTTAAATGTCAATGTGAGATCTTTGGCCCCACATATTACCCAGTGTGCAAGAAATCTCAGGGAAAACTTCAAATTTGACCAACAGATACTGTGGTAAAATCCTGCTTTTACCACCTCTGGCTAAAGTCAAACCATTTTTATCCCAGAGAAATTTTCAAACGGTGATTCATGCCTTCATAACAACTCGTCTGGATTAATGTAAGTCTCTCTATTTTGATATTTCTCAGTCTTCTCTCTCATCTGCAGCTGGTAAAAAAAAATGCGGCTGCTTGATTACTCGCTGACACCCGCAAGTGTGAGTCGGTAACTCCAATTTTAGCTGCACTTAACTGTTACTAATTAAATAGAGAATTGATTTTGAAATTTGATTACTTGTTTACAAAGCCATCCATAATCTTGCTCCTCAGTACCTTACAGACTTGCTTTGTCCGTATACCCCCTCTCGATCATTGAGATCTTATGATCTCAATTTACCATCCGTGCTCAGAAAATGTCTTAAAAAACAAGGTAATCAAGCTTTTGCTGTTGCTGGTCCTAAAGTCTGAAACACTCTACCATTTCACATTAGACTTTCCCCCTCCATTTCTGTGTTTGAGTCTGTTTTCTATTTTCTCTCGCTTTTAATACTCCTTGATCACGATTTTATTGCTTTTATTTGTTAAATGCTTTTTTTATTTTCTGCTTTCGTCTCTCTTTCCTACAGTTGAAGTCAGAATTATTAAATCCCTGAATTATTAGCCCCCCTGTTTATTTTTTCCCCAATTTCTGTTTAACGGAGAGCAGATTTTTTTCAACACATTTCTAATACTTTTAATAGTTAATTTCTAATAACTTATTTCTAATAATTTATTTTGTCTTTACCATAATAACAGTAAATAATATTTTAATATATATTTTCAAGACACTTCAATACAGCTTAAAGTGACATTTAAAGGCTTAACTAGGTTAATTAGGTCAGCAGTTCCCAACAGGGGGGTCGCGGCCCACAAGGGGGCCTCAGCAAGCTCTGTGGGTGGTCGCGTCATATTTGAAAAACTTTTTCGCAGTGGACAATTAGGAGAACGATCATGTTGCCTTAGTTCATTTTATCCCCTGGCTGACCAAATATTGGACAAATTTGTATTTGTAGTCTCACTGATTCACCTTCAGCAGCTAATACTAATGACCCAAGCATAGTGGACCCAGGTGAGAAAGCTCCAAACATTTTGGGTCGCAGTGCTAGCAATACTGGAAACACGAAATTCAGGAAATACCAACATAGTTACCTGAACTATGGTTTTATTCCATTTTCTCGAAGCAAAGAGTCTCTGACCCAGCCACAATGCATTATCTACGCCAAAGTTCTTGCAAACAAATGCATGAGGCTTTCCAAATTACTAAGAGATTTGCAGACAACTCATGCCCAACTCTGCAAGTTGTACCCAATACAGCCTACTGATGTTTTGCTTTTTTATTTTACATTAGGCAATTATTTGTGCATAAAGATTTCTAGAGATAGAAATAAACATGCAGTTTGTTTGAAAACAACCTTATTTTTGTCATATCTACTGACAAACTTATGTGAGCAACAATATCAATAAATGTGGAGGGGGGCCTCACAACATTTTCCGGTGGGAAAGGGGATCTCAGGCAAAAAAAGGTTGGTAACCACTGAATTAGGTTAACTGGGCAGGTTAGGGTAATTAGGCAAGTTATTGTATAACGATGTTTGTTCTGTAGACTTAAAAAAAAATGGCCTAAGGGGCTAATAATTTTTAACTTAATTTTTTTTAAATTAAAAACTGCTTTTATTCTAGCCAAAACAAAACAAATAAGACTTTCTCCAGAAGAATTTCTTTTATCAGACATGCTGTGAAAATGTCCTTGTTCTGTTAAACATCATTTGGGAAATATTTAAAAACAAATATTCAAAAGAGGGCGAATAAATCTGACTTCAACTGTATGTCTGGTCAACTTTGTTTTTAAATGTGCTTTATAAGCAAATATTGTATTGTATTGTTTTCAGATTTCTTCAAAAATAGTGTAAATAGTGAGTAAATTAGTATTTTTGGTTGAACTATCCCTTTAAATATTATATCAAAAGTTCAACAAATACTCTGTTTGTACCAAAGACTTCATAGTATACCTCCAAGTACTTCTATATCTAAATATATCAATGATTTTATTCTTGTGAAATGACAGACGGGATGTATTTACTGTAGATATTTTGTTGTTGAGCTTCTAAATCATAATGTTACTAAAAGGTCTTTCTAAAAACGTAACATCTTTTAAGCAAACTTGAAAAAATGTATCCTGAAAATAAAGAGACGGCACGGTGGCTCAGTGGTTAGCACTGTCACCTCACAGCAAGTTTGGTTTGAGTCCCAGCTGGGCCGGATGGCATTTCTGTGTGGAGTTTGTTCGGTTTCCCCTACAAAGACATGGGGTATAAGTGAGTTGGGTAAACAAAGTTGGCCATAATGTATGAGTGTGTGTGTGTAAATGTTAGTGTATGGGTGTTTCCCAGTACTGGGTTGCGGCTGGAAGGGCATCCGTTGTGCAAAACAAATGCTGAAATAGTTGGCGGTTATTTCCGCTGTGGCGACCCCTGATAAATAAGGCACTAAGCTGAAGGAAAATGAATTAGTTTTAGTATAAAGACCCCCAAGAAACAGACGTACATCCTGAAGAATTCATTTTTTAAAATGGTAGGAATTAAGATTTATTTTTTTTCCATATGAACAAGTGGTTTGATTTTATTTGTATTTTTTACAAGTACTATTTTTTTTGAGAAAACTTGCAAAAATTTCTAGCATATTCCAAGTCAAGAATGAACATGAAAAAGGGGATTTATTGCTGAATGTCAAATGAAAACTACACTTTCACCGTGTGAATACGACTCAGTTGCTGCGGTTACCATGCACCCATCTATCTGAACCACTAGAACATGCAGAGAGAGGGACGCCTTACAGGCAGAGAGGAAGAACAGAAGAAACAGAGAGAGGAAAAACAGGAAGAAAATCAATCCGTGAGACGAGTAGTGCTTTAAAACGAATGAGTCTTGAGCATGTGTGTGTGTAAGTGTGTGTAAGTTTATCTGAATGTGTGTGTGTGTAAGTGTAAGTGTTGTGTGGGTGGACGGTTCGTCTTTTTTAAATGTAGGTTGCTGGGCTTCTGGAACAAGGGGGTTTACACTTTTAATCCACCTAATGTAGCACGTCTAGTAGCCGAACACGCATTGCTTCAAGCAAGTCTCCAACTTGCATACAGATGTGTCAAAGGGAGAGAGAGAGAAAAATAGAGAGAGAGAGAGAGAACACAGACTTGGAACGACCCTACCAAAAACAAAAGGAAAGCCAACAAAACATGGATCGTTCTCAGACAAACACATCTGGTCGTATATCGTTCTTCGTCGTCTTCCCAGCATGACGCAGACAAGACGGGCAGTAATGGATCTGTTTTATGGGTAATGCAGTTTTCGATGAAAAGTCCTGAGACACAGTGCGGCTTAAAGCTGCTGGCATAGGAATGGGAACGTGTGGGAAAGAGATGTAGGTCCGTGTAGGCTAGAATCAGGCTGG